TCTTCTTCTTCTTCTTCTTCTTCTTCTTCTTCTTCTTCTTCTTCTTCTTCTTCGCGGGGGGTGTATTTAGGGTTTTTTTTGTGAAGGTCTATTTTCTAATTATTTTATCTACATAATTTATCTGTCAGTACTTCCTCCGTTCACATTACCTAACGTCATCCTGAGTATACTTTCCTCTTGGTCCCACTGTCATGCTCTGGAGCGAAATTGAGTTACTCAAGCTCTTGATCACGTGATGGCATGACTTTTACATAAACGGCTTCTCTCTGACTGACCACGTGAGAGACAACGTCTATGAAGACAGGTTTATGACACGTTTATAGGGCGACCTTCATACTGTGGATTACTCACGATAAATACCGTTTGCCGACTAATTAGTAGGTGTGGTCATGAAAACTATCAAAATCAACATTCTATTCAAAGACTCATTTGGTTGGATTATTTCTTTTTGTTCTGACTGTGTCAGTGGGTTTGTGAAAACATTGATAAACAGCATTCTTGAGGATATAAAGTAGGCCTCTGTTCTTTGAAAGTGTTGATTTAAGATGAAAATAAAAAATAACGTGTATTTCAAAACGTAATCAATCTATAAATCTCTCCTTTATGTACGAGCGAAAAGCTCTCTGACCGTTTTTCATTTACCAAAATGAGTTGTTATTTTGGAGCTAATGCCTTCACGCTCCTCAGACTCAAAAGACCCCTCGAAATTCAGCTCACTTCACTTCAATATCTGGGTCTTAACCGATGAAGCTGACTAGGGATTAAGTGGCTGTTTTCAACGGAAATTACTGTCGCAATAGGAGCAAGGGACGATGAAATATCTGAAGCTGTTTTCCGATTATGTTGTTTCCTTTTTATGGGAATTGTTTGATGGTAGATTTTCCTTGCAATAGCATGGCGTGTGTAGGGAATGCTGCAGTGCAAGTGCTGATAGTGTTCTTGTATGCTTGTTGTTGTTGTCGTTGTTGTTGTTGTTGTTGCTGTTGTTGTAGTTCTTAATGCTATGTTGCTGCTGCTGGTTATAATGATGATGATGATGATGATGATGATGATGATGATGATGATGATGATGATGATGATGATGATGATGATGATGATGACGCGTT